AATAGCTGGGTTTGTCCCTTTTTAACCCAGCGCTGGGTTATATTTAACCCAGCATTTTTTAGAGTGTATATGCTTTATTTTTTAAGATTAACAGTTTTTTTTTTCCAAGGCATTGTTAAATGTCAGTGTTTCATGACATATTTGCTACGCAAAGATTTGATTTCAAAAAGAGTATCATAGCTATTAAACTACTGTATCTTATGATCTTAAATTTGTATTTAACCTCAGAACGATCTCAAAGTAAAAAAAAAAAAGGTGCTAAAGTCTGATTTTGTGGGGGCTCGTCTATCAGCAGTGTGCTATCTGGGTAATTATCTTTCGAGTTTTTGATGTGTTGTGCGAGAAGGGGCATGGCCGAGGCGCACATTTTGGTCTGAGATGCACTGCTCCCGTGCAGCATCTAGTAGTTGAGAAATCATAGCACCTTTAAAGAAGGCGTTGATTAGGAAGTTCTTAAAAATCTGTTTTTATAGCATTTTTTTTTTTAAAGAACCAGAGACTAAATAGTTCGAATTGTAATGTAACATCAAACTGTAAAACCCTGGATATCACCAGAACCTTTATTTTTAAGAGTAGGCCCATATATATCAGCTGATTCAGGTGACTGCTGTGTAATGGTCATGTGACCTGATGTGCAAGATGGCTTGACGTCTACATTTACATCTGCAAGACGTATTTTTTTAGAGTGTTTGCCCATCTGCTATACGTCGATAGGACGTTTCCTATCAGATGTCTAATAGATGTTTAGAAAATGTCTTTAAGATGTTTATGATTTAGAGTGTATGTAAAACTGACATCTGAAAGACGTCTATCAGAGCAGTGTATTCATAACTGGTCAATCCCTGTGTTTTTCCCACACACCAATAAGCTGTCCTTCTTCAGCACATCACATGAAACGCTGGAATTTGGTTTGATGAAAATGTTACATTGAATATTTGCGCAGTAAAACTTGTGACAATGCAGCAAGGCGTTAATGTTGCGAAGTTTCCTGCTCGTTTGAAGCGTCACACTCCAGTTCAGTAGGAAGCGCTACCGCTCCATTACACAAAGCAGCAGCAGCATCTCGTGTGATCTTTGGCGTCTGTTTGAGTTGATTTGCGGTGTGCCCGACTGGATTTACTCACATCGGCTGTCGGAAGTGTGCAAAGTTGTTTGCGCTTTTCAAATTTGCGTGTTTAGTGCATATTTTGCATGCATCGGTCTCGATATTTGTGCGCATCTGGTTCAGATTGAGGCTCTTAGGGTTTGTAAGTATTGATAATATTGTACAGTATGGGTCCGAAACAGAGCAGTCCGTCCGTGGGGGTTCGGGTCCGAGCTTACTCCGGTTTCGATTTGTCCAACTCGGACGGGCAAGCTGCGATTCTGCGCTATTACGCGGGCGGTTTGACGGGACAGATCGGTGAACGGGTCCAGTATTCATCGCAAACACCCGGTTCGTTCATCCAGAGCGCCGTTATCCCGACCGGCGGCCGGAGAGATGAGCCAGACGGGCAGAGAGCGCTGCTGATCGGCTCCTTACCTGCACACCTCACACCTCACCTGCTGGACGGTAAGACGCTGGGCAAACTCCTGCTCATTAATATCATATAATGCATTTGACTATGAGATATATACGATCATTTAATGAATCTTGTTGACCTCACATGATGAATTAACTTATTTTATGACCTTATCACATGTTTCAAGTTTCAAGTTTCAAGTCTGCTTTATTGTCAATTCTTCCACATGTACAGCACATACACACAGAGAATTGAAATTGCGTTACTCTCAGACCCTTGGTGCATACAGATAACACTAACAGTAGAACATAAATACAGATATACTCGGCTCCTTACCTGCACACCTCACACCTCACCTGCTGGACGGTAAGACGCTGGGCAAACTCCTGCTCATTAATATCATATAATGCATTTGACTATGAGATATATATGATCATTTAATGAATCTTGTTGACCTCACATGATGAATTAACTTATTTTATGACCTTATCACATGTATTGTGATATATTGATATATTATTGACCATATGGTTATTATATGGTCATATAATGCCAATAAATCAATAATAATATATATTATATTATAATGTAGCTTATTAGTCTTATTTGATTATACAACTTTTTTATATGATATCATGCATAGTCGTATGCATTATAATGAATCCTATTCACCTTATATGATGAATATATGTTTTTATAATAATCACAAGCTCACATGTGTATTATGATCATTTATAATGTGGGTTATTGACCATATCTCATGATTAGTCCATACACATTAGAATGAGGCTTGTTGGCCTTATATGATTATTCAGCTTTTTAATATGTAAAACATAGCCGCATTATAATATATGCAATATATACGTATGCAAAATATTCATTATAATATATTGTAATGAATCTTGTTGAACTTGATGAATGATCACAAGTAATCGCAACTATATAACTTGCACTATTGAGGTATTATAATGTTGCTTTTTGTCCTTAAATGATTATTCATCTTTTTATATGACAATATAATAGTGATATATTATAATATAATATATTATAATATTATAATTAATCTCGTTGAAACATCTTTTTTTGCCAGCACCTGACCAATTAATACTAGCACTTACCTATTCTATTCTATTCTATTCTATTCTATTTGCTGTAATTTATTTAAACTAAAAACACCTTGCTATGTGTACTGTGCTACTGCTAACTGAGACTTGTCACATCACTTGTGTACTGTTGCTCTCTTTTTGGTCTGATTGCTTCTATTCTATTCTATTGCTTCTAAAGCGTCTGCTGAATGATTAAATGTAAATGTAATTATGAATTACCTTATTATATGACCTAATAATACATATTTGAACTTGTTGTGATAATATATTATAATGTAGATTATTGACCATATATTGTTTTTCGGATAATGTCAATAAGTCCATAAATGTATAACAGTTTATTTTATTGGTGTTATATGATTATTCATCTTTTTCTAAGACAATAACATAGTTGTATGCATTATAATATATAATAATGAATCGTGTTGACTTTATATGATGTATCATCTTATTATATGGCCTTATCATAATCAAGCTCATATATGTGTTATGGTATATTATAATGTATCAGTCATTTAATTAGGTCATTTAATGCAGATTATTGATGAAATCATAAGATTATGGTATGGTTATATAATGATGCCAGTAATCCCATATATGGCCATACATTGATTTTATTATAATGTACCTCACTGGTTCTGTATGATTACTTGATTATATGACAGTATCATACTTAATGTATCCTATTGACATCTTATTTGATTATTACACTGTAAAAAATGACCGTGAATTTAACGGTAAAAGAATGTAAAAATGCTACAGTAAAAACCTGTTAAATGGTTAACGGTAAATTCCCCTACTATATACGGTGAAAAACTGTATTGGACATTACATGTATTGGACATCAATTTTACGGTAGTATACCGTTTTTGGAAGTGAAAAATACCGTATAATTTACAGTGAATACCCGTAAATTGACATTCCCAGAATTCCCTGCGTTACATTTCAAATTTGATGTTTTTTTGTTGAAATAACTATGTTTCTTCTTAGTTTTTTCTTATCAGTTTTGTATATTAGGGTTGTGTGTTACACCTAATGTTGTTAAATGAATGTTTATTGCATTATTTCAGTTTCATGTGTGTTACCATGATGGTGTTTAGCGTTTGTGTGAATGACACTGTGCACCTTCTATATATGTTATTATTTAAAAGCTGCTTGTGATGGGCTTTGGTTCATTGTGTGACTTTCTCATCACCACCTGCATTTGGTGGTTATCAGTGTATTACAAAGGTACAAAACAGATTTCAGTACTTTAATAGGTTGGTATATTAACATGATATCAGTTAATGAAATTACGGTATTTAACTGTAAATTTAAGGTAAAACCTAAAACGTTGCTACCGTATTTTTTACGGTAAAATTCCGGCAACCACAGCTGCCGGTTTTTTACCGTAAATTTTACGGAATTTTTTTTACAGTGTAGGAGCTTATTATAATAAGGTCATCTGTGCATTATACTGTATTTTTATTTGATGTAGGGATAGATTTCAAATGCATGATTGAGTGTTGTTTTATGGCTTATGCGTTGATGGTTTTATAATTGATAAATGTGTGTGTTTCTGCACATCATGCTCTGAATGGCCTGTGATCAGAACTGTACGGTGACTGTTGATTTGTTGTGGATATTTTATGGTAACTAAACACAGAGA